GCACCGCCGAACCCTTCTCTCGTTTGGCGCTGCCATATTCCTCTCTGTTGTATCCTCCACTGATGGCAGCCCCTTCTCTCCTGCAGGCTGCGGCGACGACTGGGCTGTCGCCGTCGTCGCCCTACCCCAGGTGCTGAGGTCTATATCTTCGGGATCTTCGCCGGCGACGAGAATCCACCAGGTACGCTCATGGCCCACCCCTTGTCTTCCTTTCACTGCTGTGCAGAACCGAGCTTCCAAACTCAAGCAATTTGTATTCGTATCCGATCTGATAGGTGCGTGTGTAGCTGAAGGGGTGGCAACAGGCGGCAGTTGCATTTGGTTCTGCGTTTGGATCTTGGTGAGACTACTTGGAAGCCAGCGTTGGAGCGTGTGCTGCAACGAATGAAGAACATTGCAGAAGGCAGGGTATACACATACTGCCCTCCCCTTGTGTGTTCTAGTTGTCCTAGACCATTTATGGCTATGAATTCCTTGATAGCTTTCGGTAATAGCAGATTTTTTAAATCAAGTGCAGAATTACCACAATAGTGAAACGGTTGTTTACTTGTTTTTCTCATTTGAGAATAAAATTACATAACGACGACAGGATCAAATAGCAGGCAGCAGCATGATTTAATTGTGATGATAGCAATTATTCAGTGGCTCTTTGTTCAATATTAGTTATTCCAAAGCAAAACTTGGACAGTAGGGACTAGGTTGCTTGATTGTTCGGTGATAGCTCTTGGCTTCATTTGTTTGCTTATTATACTATTTCAATTAAGTTTGTATTGACAAGATATTCTTTCAGTAACAAGGCTGGCAGAGTGATAGAGTATGGCTCTGCTGTGTGTGCAGTGTATCTGTTCGCGTGGTTTTTTATTATTGTTTGTTCTGTGTTTCCTGCAGATTCTTTCAGTGTATCTGCTGTTTTTTAATTCTATTTTTGTTATTATTTCGTGTTTTTTTGTTTGTTGCGGAGGCGGAGGCGTAGGCCGAGGTCGAGGGTTAGCCACAGGTCCACGCCGTGTTCGATTCGGAGCTGTTCGTGGCTGAGACGGAGGCGGAGGCGGAGTTCGGGCCTGAGTTGGATTCATTTTCTTCTCCGGCGCTGAGTAGTTTTTGTGGTGAGTTTTTGTATCCAAGTGTTCTTTTGTAAGTTGTAGATCCTTTTTCCATGTCTTTGTTCATGTTGAGTTTTTTAGGGTTTGTTTTAGATCTTGTATTTCTATTTAGTGATATTTACCTGTTCTGTAGATGTTATATAATTTGATGGTAAACGTGATGAATTTGATAGAGTCATCAATATATTTTGGTTGAAATTATCTGATCTTTTTTATCTGTAGATGTTAGCCATAGTTGAATTTTTCATTGCTTAGATTATAGTTCTTAGGTATGGCAATTTTGTTGAGGATACTGTTTACTTAGGAAAATGAATTGTTCTTTGTGTTTTTTTTTGTAAATGGTTTCCTGTCATTTATATAGTATGTAATGCTTAACGTGATGATTTGGATGGTATTATTGTAATAGTTGGATGCTATAGTGTTTTGTGAGTGGATTAGGCTTAGTTGTGTTTTGTGTTATCATGCTTTTGCTTGCTTTTAAATTTCAGTTGATTCACAATTTTTTTGTTAAGCTTTGTTAGGCTCAGCCCATCATGCCAAACTGAGCTTGCTCCTTCCAGTATTATTATCATTGATGATTTTTTTCTGATTATATGGTTTACTCTGTAATATATGTGTTTATCATCATACTATAGTGTTTGTTGTTGATAGGTTAGAAATCATCTTTTTCTGTTTTGGTTTTGTAGTAGTGTGTTTTTAGTTGTCCTTTCGTAGTCTTTCTCCTTATATAAGCTGTAATGTACTTGTATCGATATCTTTTTCTTTTGTGTGTTAGATGTTTCTTTCTATTTTTTTGGATTGGTCTACTTAGCTGCTGTCCTGGTTTTTTTGTTTATGATAGTGTCCTTTGTTGTATGGATTGGTTTTATTTAGTTATTTGCTTTATGTGTTCCCTGGTCTATTTGTTTTTAGAAATTCTATTTTTTGATATGTTTGTCTCAGGTAGTTCCCTCAGACTTTTTGTGATTTTGCCTTTCATAGAAATTTTCAGGTTTTTGTTTTTTTTTAAATTCTGTTGTTTGGTATGTTGATATTTGAGTTGTACAGATCTTTAAGCATTGGCCAAGATGGTGACAATTTTTTAGAACCTGAGGTACTTCTGTACTCCTAAATTTATCCCATTTTGTGTTTTGTACTCCTAAAATTATTCCAATTTAGGTTAGGTTTTTGTTTATCCAATGCCTTTTCTTCTATGTTTTTTTGTTATATTCTAGATTTTGGGCTAGTGCTCTAGCTCTAGATAATGGTTTCCTGGTTATAGGTATCCTAGTTATAGTGTAGTCCAACTTCACTTACAGTTGTTCATTAGGTGTAATTTATAGGTATTATTTATGTAAGTAGTACTAAGTGCTAAAACTTCATTACTTATGTAGTACTAAATTGTTTGATTAATATAATGACCTCATATTTCTTTTGGTTTTGCTATCTATATTGGAAATTTGTATTTTGTTATGTTTGATTGGGGGCAGTTCTCTCAGGTTATTTTTGAATTTGCCTTTCATAGAAAATTTCTGGTTTATGATTTTAGAAAATTTGTTTTTTGGTATGTTTGTGTCAGGCAGTTTCTTCAAAATATTTGTGTTTTTGCCTTTCACAGAAATTTTCTGGTTTTTGTTTTTTGAAATTGTGTTTTTTGTTATGTTTGTTCCAGGCAGTTCTCTTAGATTTTTTGTGTTTTTGCCTTTCATAGATAATTTCTGGTTTTTGTTTTATGAAACCCTGTTTTTTTTGGTATGTTTGTTTCAAGCAGTTCCCTCAGAATTTTTGTGATTTTGCATTTCATAGAAAATTTCTATTTTTTTGTTTTGTTTTATATCTTTTGTTTTTATTTTAATTATGTTTTTTCAATGTTGTAGTGGTGACTGTGTTAAGGTTGATTGTGTTCTTTTGGTAATCTGAGTGAAATTCAAGTATATTTCACCCGAATTTTTATTTTGGGTTGGTTGTTTGTTTTCTGCGGTAGGATTACTCGTGTGAGCATTAGACTTGCATCACTTAAATTTTGCTTTTTGTGACATTTGTGTGATTTGCCCTCTCAAATTGCTTGAGTATTCAAATGGGTCAAATCACCCAAGTTTTCCAAATAGACAGATCCTTTTTAATGGGCTTGTTCTGCGGAACCGTGCGTCGCGAGAAAAGCTGCTACGTCTCGTTTCGGTGCACCGTGCACGATTCGTTTCTTCAGTTGAGCGACACGAGACGAAGAAGCAGCTAACGCCTGACACGAAATGCGCGTCGCAGCTTTTATACATTTTATACAAGTATAAATTTTGCTGCGAGCTTTGATCGTTGAAGACGAATACGGGAGTGCAAAGTACGTACTGTATTTGGTGGTACTGTATGAATTTTGAGTCACGCGTCATCCCATCTTTTTGGAATGAAACACTGTGACTTCTGATGTGACGACCACTGTACCGTAGCCGCAGCGTCTCGGTGTTTAGGCCGGCTCGCTTCGCTGAAAAAATAAGTTTAAATATTGTTCTGAATGATTTATTATGAGAGAAAAATAGTGTTTTATTTAAAAAAAATAAGCTGAAAAAAACGGATTATAAGAGAAGCCCGATGCCATGATGACCCCTTGACTGGGTATTCCGTATTTGGGCACTTCCGCACTTGGGTGGGGCCGTGGGGGCGTGGGCGTGCTGCCTGCCTTTCCTGGTGCTGTTCTGGCTGCAGGCAGGTACAGTGCTACTGCATCGATCCCCAGTGGCAGAGAAAAACAGGATACAATACAACCGGCCGCGGGCCGCCCACGTTTGGATTGGATGCTCTGGCCGTCGTCAGGAAAGCGGTGGAACAGTACTAGAACGTGAGTGCAACTGTGCAAGCCGTGGTCAGCACAACAATCTTGGCAACGATCCGCATATAGAGACGTGCTGGCTGTACAACGACACGTCGTTTTTGATCTGTGATGCGTCGTGCGCTTCGGCTCTTTTTTTGGAGAATGACTTCCCAAATCAAACTAGCTGTGAGTGCTGCCCGACAAACACGCAAGTCGTCATGCACGAGCCAAATCAGAGATCAGAAGCTGAACGCCTGAATCAGAAGCGTACGGGGCAGAGCATCAGTGCATGCCGCGCTCTCCCTGCAGGAACGTTCAGCGTCTAGTCAACGCGAAAGTGCCATCCATCCCAGCGACGGCTACCTAGCTACTCTTTTGTGCACGTTAATTTGGTGCGTGCGGGACTCGATCTGGCGCAGTCTTGCCGACCACATTAAGTCTGTGCGCGGTGCGGTCAAATTCAGGAACCATACGGACCGATCGATCAAATCTCAAATGAATCCATGTACCTACAGGTCAACTCGGCTCAGGTTTTGATTAGATGCCAAAGATTAGATTTAGCCCCAAGGTTCAAGCCTCCAATAAACTCGTTAATGACCACGTTGTTATCATGCTTAGGGATGGATCTCACCAAGTTTGGCCATATTTGGTATAGCTTCCCAAAGAAGGTACTTTAATCTCTAAGAAGTTGTACAAATGAATAAAAACCACGGCCAGGACAACGTAGCTCGTTTTATATAAATAGAGGCTACAGTGAGAAACGTGCCAAAAAAAATTCTAGAAGAGCTTGCCATTTGGTTTTTATTTTCAACTTATTTCTATGTACCAAATAGACCCTTAAAATAAGTTTTTGTAGCGTTGTGACTTGTGACACCTTGTTTTTTTTTTCAATAGATGCAAATCATAGATGAAAATAAAAAACTACAGCCTGCATGCAGATGATTGATTCCTTGGAGACAGCGATCATACACATATCCGCTAGCCATGGATGAAGTTCTATAATAGGATTGTTAGGTACTCCGTAATCTTTATCTTGGGGAGTCACACCTACGAAGCCACGCAAGCGTGTTCTTCTAGACTGTACGGTGGCAAAGCTCTTTTGGGAACAGACCAAGATGTCATCGCAAGTGAAGGTGCCTGACTTGAATCCGACAACCTGGGCGTCGGACCTGTTGTCGGACCTATGCACAAAGCAAGACCGCGCGGTCATCTTATGCGGCATGTGGGCGCTGTGGATGATGCGTAATAAACGGAGCCATGGCGAACTCTCTATGCCTATTCATCAGGCAGTGATTTGGGCCAGGGATACGGCCTTTGATCTTTGGCAGTTGAACCACAAAGATGAAGTCGTGGAGAGAGCAGCCAAGAGATGGAAGAAGCCGCTACAGGGGTATCTGAAAATTAACACGGATGCCGCCTTCTATGATGAAAGCAAACAAGGGGCAACTTCCTGTGTCATCAGGGACCATAGCGGCGCCTTTTATGCAACACAAGCAAAGTGGTATGATAAAGGCTTTGATGCATGTTCCATGGAAGCTTTGGCCTGCAAGGATAGCTTGATTTTTGCCAGCCAATTAGGAGTGCAAAACGTGGCAGTGGAGACTGATTGCCTACAACTGGTGCAACTGTGGAACAAGAGAGACTCTCAGCGATCGATTATTGATTCAAACGTTGAAGGAGGTTGCTGAACTCAGCCTTGCTTTTCAGTCCTTTACGCTTTCTTTTGTTAGTAGAATTTTTAATAAGGTAGCGCATTCTCTAGCAAAAGAAGTGTCAGCGTCGCATCGCTCGAAGACGTGGCATGTAACTCCGGCATGCGTGTATGATCAAATTGTGTTTGAGGCTTCGGCTGAATGATAATGGAGAGCAGGGCTGTCACAAAAAAAAAAAAAAGCCACGCAGGTGCATCTAACTATAAATAGGCGTTCAATGCCTGGCCTAGGCAGGTTCTCCAGGAGATAGGACTATGGTCTCAATTAGGAGTACAGTTTTGTTAAGTTTGTGGCGCATTATCCAAGTCGATCTCCTGATGTAACTCAAGCATATGCTGATATAACGCTGTCGCAAATTTCGAATGAAGTGCAATTCCATGCTCAAAGACCTTTTTGCATTTAAGAAAACTGTCCCGGTGACGTTATTGTCAAATACTAATGGTGTGCCCATTTAAGAAAAATGCATGCCACACTTTTTTTGTAGGACATGAGCATTTTTGCTAATACTTCCTCTATCCTAATATATATAAGACGTAACCACTTTTTGTTCAAATCCCATAATATAAGGTGTGCTCTCTCTAGATGCACGTACATCGATGCATTAATACTAGTGTTGAGAGAGATAATTAAATATGTTCCTTGGTCTTTGAACCAGAGGTAGTTATGAACGAAGGGAGTAATGCTTAAATTCCTTCGAACCATCATGTTAGTTAGAGCGACGGCCTAAATTAAATTTATTTTATTTTAAAAGTATTCTCTCTCTTCTTAGATATATACGATGTTTGTTATGAACGACGTATAGGAATATGAAGTAAAGAATCAAGCCACAGAGGAGACACACGATTTAATGTGGAAAACTCCTCCAATGTGAAGGGGAAAAACCACGGGCACCAGCTAGCAACAATCTCACTATCTCAAGAGTTTTGAGTTACACGCCTATGGCGGCTTACAAGAGAATCAAGTCTCCACGAAACCCTAGCAAGGGTGTATATACCGTACCGTACCGCGGGGGCTCCGCCCCCCGCACCCCCCGAGCACAGGGGCGAGACCTGATGGGCCGGCTCCGGCCCAAGCCTCCGGCGACGGGCCTCCGCTCCGCTCCGTCAGAAGCCCGGCCTATATCCTGGAGTGAATTTGGAACAACTCCAACAATGTTTCTGCCAAGCTTGCTCATATATTTAAAAAATGGAGGGGTGTATTCGCAAACCTGTGACCAAATGCTAGGCTTAGCTTGAGCACGGCCCCATCTGGTAGGGCTAGCTCTTTTCCGGCTCCGGCTTCTGCGGAGGAGCCCATCCAAGTGGTTTAGCCGGGCGTGAGCCCTTTACCGACTTCATATAGGAATCAATTCAATTGGAAGAATTTAGCAAATCGGTTCTCTGAATTTGTATGCGGGCAATAGCTATGTGTTTATACGAATTTTCAGGAAGTATAAATTTATAGGGCCCACCAGGTCTCTAGTTTATACTAGTCCACACGGTCTTATTAAGCCTTCTTGTTTTTGTTTTCCTTGAGGAAAACTCAAATCTCACTACTTATTTGCAACAACAAAATTAGAAAGGAGTTTACAGAGTTTAACTCACCGTGTATCGAAAGTTATCACATAAACATCCAGGACTTAGCAGCTTGTTCCAGCTGCAACAGCTGTGGGCTGTGGCTACAACACCAAAGGCTTTCCACTATACATAAGCTTATGGAGCTACAGGCCTGCAGCCGGAAGAAGTATGTAGCAAATAAAACAGGGAATCTGCAAGACGACTGCCCAAAAATCCAACCAAGTACCCTCTTAATGAAATACTCCGTACATGCTAAGCATTGTTAGTTCGCGAAAGAAAAAAAATCCAACCAAGTGCAAACATCGCAAAACTCTAATAAGCTGTTAATACACCGAACAACAACTATTACATGTCCAAACGGACAGGCGGCCTTAATTTAGCCTGCTTGTTCCCTGCAACAAATTCAAATGGTAAGTAGTACGTAAAATGAAGCCAGTAGCTATTGTGGTACATGTACCTCGTCTACCTCTCCAGATTTTGAGTATGCTTTGATTTGAGGAAATGAGTAGTCTTAGGTCGCGCGTGTGGATGCATGTTACACACCGACGCACACGCACGTACAGGTCTTGCAAGTGCACTCCGTCTAATCTCCGGGCCAGTATAAAAGGGCATCCAAGATGGCCACGTCTTCACCGAAAGGATCGTGGGCACCTTCTCTCTCCGTCGTCACCGCCACGTCGTCGTCACCGTATGGATCGTTGGCACCTCTCTCCGTCAGCTGCTGCTGTTGCATGGAGCTGCCGCCGGAGCCATCGTCATCATCCGGCGGCGACGCGGCGACTGCCGTGGACGGCCCCGCCGGGTCCTCGCCAGGGACGACGACGCCTCCCGCAGCTGCGAGCGGCCGCCGGTCAAACTGTCTCAGGTTCCCAGATTTGGTGTAGAGTCGACACAGGCTAAACTCGCCCCTCGGCTGCAACTGCAACACCATATACGTACGTACATCAAGTTAGCAAAAGAATCCCCAGATCGAGACCAGAGTGCAATAAGTATTTTTGTTTTCTCTCAGCACAATATATATAGAGTTCTTAAAAAAATACTAGTACGTTCTTCCATGCAACATGAGCCAAGTTCCCATAGAATCGAAGGCTATATATATACATTAGTACATTACTATATGATGAGATCGATCGTGCTTATGGGCTTCCAACGGCGTCGTTGTCTGGTTGGTACATAGATTGGCACAAGGCGAGAACCACGCATCGAGTTTTTTTTTTAAAGAACTTTTGCAGGAGTATCGATCGAGTATCATGAAACCTAAAGCTAGCTACAAAATAAACAGCAAGTGGCTTTTGGACACTTATCCGGCGCAAAAAAACGACACGCACCATCGATCTAGTTGCCCTGGCGTCTAAGCAATATATATGTGTGGGTGATATATGGAGATCGACATGCGTGCGCCGCAGCTTCTTGTGTGGATCTTAATTTGGAAGCTATATAAGCTACGTGCCAATGTCCACAACGGCAGAGAGAAAGCAACGTCCATTAATCATTTGTGCATCATCTCACCTGCGGCTGCGGGGCAACGTTTGGTGGTGGTGGTACGGATACGGGTACGGCGGCAGCGTGGTGGTGGGCGCTAGACGACGACGAGGACCCGTCAGTTCCGACTCCAACTCCGACGGCGGCGGGGCCGGGGCCGGGGACGGGGACGGGGGCTTCGTACTGGAGCGCCCTGTACTCGTTCATCTTCCACTTGGTCTTGGTCCCCGACGGCGCGCGGCCGCGGTAGAATACCATGGTCTTCTTCATCCCGATGGCGCGGCGGTCGTGATCGGCGGTGGAGTAGACGACCCCGGGCGTGCCCGCGGCCTTCCAGTACCCCGACGGCGTCGTCCGGCTGGGCCGCCCGCCCCGCGCCTCCCGCTCCTGCCGCGGGCAGAAGTAGAACCACGGCTCCCCGTCCCCGGCGCCGCCGCCGCCGCGGCGCAGCATCTCGTGAATCCCTGCATGCATCATGTCGCGCCCCGCGCGGTTAGCGCAATGCACCGCTTCCATCATATCAATTGGTGGGCTGTGCCTGTGCGTGCGTGCATGGTTAGCTAGCTACGGCGTTAAGTTGCACCTGGGAGCTGCCAGGGGTCGACGGAGTAGACGTCGACGACGGGGATGACGCGCTCGATGTCGTCGCGGAGGTTGTCCAGCTTGTTCCGGAGGTAGAAGGATATCAGCTCCTCTTCCGTCGGGTAGAAGCGGTACCCCGGGGGCAGGCCGGCCGCCATGCCACCAATCGATCCGCGCGCAGACCACCAAGATAGTAGCTAGCTATAGCCACTAGGACCGGCCGCTCGGGACCGGCCGGAGCTGACGGCGCCGGAGTTGAGGAGAGGATTGGCGCTGTGCAGCCGGGAGCAAATTAAGAATGCATATGCGCTCAAAGAACCGCGTGCCTGTGGTGTGTGTATACCGCTAGTGAGGTGGGTGATGAGGTGTGGTGAAACAAGGTGTGGAAGAGTTTGCGCATGACGTATATATGGGGAAGCACGAGGTGGTTCATGGTTGACATGGATGGCGCAGCTGCTGAGGTGCCCGCTTGTTCGGGCGAATTTTCTCATGGCGTGGTGGGACGGGCTGGTGCCCGTTGGAAAAACAGGTGAGCGGGGGAGAGGAGTGACAGTGCGATTTAGTGGGGACGACTGGGTCAGCTAGTACGCAAATTGCATATTTTCTCTTTTGCTTGTTGCACCTTTATTTATTAATCTATTTATCCTCGCACTTTAGTAATATAGGTAGAATTAAACACTTTATTTTAGTAGTAAGGTAGAATAAACAGAGCCAGAAGACAAATCTTTATCCAAAATATTTTTATACTAATATATGATTCTTAATTAAAAGAGACAATTGTCTGTTAGACATCCAAAGTGATGGTTCTTTATTGGCGAACACCCACTTTGGAGCATTTTGTCAGAAGACACTCTGGTTCGGTGAAATTAGGCCACATGACATCACGGACCGGTTGCAGCTGGTCGAGGAGAGAAAACAACAGTGAAATAACATTCTTGCCCTGCTACTTTCTTCTTCCATTCTCCCTTTTTTTTTTTTTCTGTTTCCTGTCCCCGCCACCTCGCCGCCTTCCGCACCCGCCATCTTGATTAGGCTCCCTGTCACCCCGGCAAAACGCGTCCGCAGGTCTTCGACCAAAACATATTTTACGTGCTCCGTAGGTCATCTCACACAGGCTCCTGAGTTCCAAGTCCCACGCGCGCGCGTTCCTACACGAACACACCACACACTGCCTCTTTATTATCTCCTTTATTTTCTGCTTTTCTTGGGGCTGTTTTAACAAGTCAATCACGAGGGCGTATCCTAATAAACTGCTAGTACTATACTACCAAATCACAGGCACTATGCGACTACATGCAAGAGTATCTAGCACTTTGAACTAGTCCTAGTTGTCACAGGATGACTTGTATATGCCTT